ATAAAATGATATCTCATGGGAGAATTAAAGATTGACAGGATTCAGAAAAACACCATGAGTAATTTAAGAAGTACTGAGGTTGAAAGTTTGAGGATGTTACACCTCAGTGTAAGACAAAATCATAAATCACAAAATAACTTCATTTCGAACATGTAGCATAAATATTGATGTTTTGGTACATTCTACAAACACCCACTTAATAATGATTGGTCATAAGGACAGCTAATCTATAAGCAAATGTATTGTGCAATCTACAGTTATCATCAAGAGCCTTCTATGTATACCTGATGACTCCCGGTGAGGTGTACTGGGAGTAAACAAAGTTATTCTTAGTGTTTCCTCTGGTCTGTGGAACCCAGTGTCACAACAGACACACAAATAGATAGCAGAGGCAAACGTAAATGTAAACACCCCTGTGGCGTATCCAGAAGGAGACAGAGTGTCTTCCCTTCTCATTCAAAGGGGGGCGGGGATAAAATGAGAAAGAGATTGAGTCATCTAAATGCATTGGACCAATGAGAAGGTGGGCTTGACCTGAGTCTTGGTGGTAAACACTGGGCACAGCCGTGGGAAGGGTCCAAACAACTGGGAAGAACACTGTGGTTATTAACTCTTTCCGTCTTTATTATCAACTACAATAATTTGTTGGTTGTATGTGAAATCAACCAGATCACTGTAGACATTAACTACAGTGTAGGAAGAAAGCATTTAAATCATACAACATAAGTCTTTCTTTTTAGCCAGCTAAATAGAGTTCCATGTTTACTGATGACCATCTACAGTCCCTCCTAAGTTGTAAAGTAAGGAACTATTAGAGAATCATGAAGTGTTCAAAAATAGCTTAGGCAAGTTCCAAATCAGAATAGGTTTGGTGACTTTTTTTAAAGTTTAAGTGGATGTTTATTTAGCAAAGCAAATATACTCCAGGAAAAATTGGAGCAGGTTGACAAGGAGGTGAATATCAGCTCACTGGGTTCTGGGTTTTGATTTTTTTTTTTTTTGATTTGGTGACATCTTTATGCCCTTTGACTGTAAAACTAACCCAAAGATTGAGGCTTAGAACAATATTCTTGTTTTAAAAATACTTCTTTTTATTTTATGTGTATGACTGTTTTGTCTGCCATGCATGCATGTAAGTATACTGTTGGAGACCACTAGGTTTCCTAGTGGCTGTACCCAGCGGGACTGCATGAGAGGTTGATTGGACCACGGGCCTGGGTACCAGGTGACTGTAACTAGCAAGGGGGAGGTCTTTTGCTCCACCCCTTGGCATTGTTATAAATAACCCTTTGGAATAAAGTTCTGGGCTGGTGGATAAAGACCCAGGCCCACCTGAGTCCATCTTGTGTTTTCTCTCCTCTCTATTTCTAACTAAGTTTCTTATCCCCCATTTCTCAAGAGTTCCTGGGATAAAAAATGGTGGGGGCTGGTCGTCCACAGTATACCATATGTGTACGGTGCCCCCAGAGGTCAAAATAGGGTACTGTATCTCTGGAACTGGAGTTACAGATAGATGACTGGGGGATACAACATGGGAACAGAACTGAGGTTCTCAGGTTTAAAAACCTTCATGTTTCTCTCAATGTTTGAGTCACCTCTCCAGCCCCAGCACCATATCTAGGAGACGACTGTGTGTTACTCCACAAAAGACTCTAATATCAAAGTTAATTTGCATTCTCAGAAATATATTTTGAAAACATTGTGAGCAAAATCATATGAAAATAAGCACTTGTATGAACTTTTAGAAAATAAAACAATCCAGACTGTATAATTTCCCAAATACTCCCTTGAGAAAGGATGACATATTTTCCACAAACTAAAGTAAAAGCTGTATTTTAATTCAGGGCAACAGGAGACCTGGGATTCATTTTAGAGACGTGGAGCATGGAAATAATGAACTTTCATTTCCTCATAGTTAATAAGCTTGGTTATGGTGAGCACTTTGGTTATATTAACTTTGGTTATTAGGCTACTTAATACATTCACCAGCATTTTGAAGAATGATTGTTCTCTTGCCGTCCCTTTTTCAGACATGACTTTCTAGAGCAGCTAGCCTGGAGAGGTGAAATAATTTGTCCAAAGTCAACAGAGGCCAGAATTCAAACCAAGTTCATGCAAAGACTCTGTATTCTGTTAGTGTTAGGGCCTTTTTTAAAGAAAAAAAATTCCCCTTCAGTCTCATGCTTTCCTTGTTATTATATTACTTTTCTAAGAGTAGGACCCCTAGGCTTCTCCTAATCATTTGATAATGCATTTCAACAACATCAAAATGGAGGGATTTTTTTCCTTGTAAATATTTAAAATAATACACATTTGCATTTATTAATAAGTACATTGATATGTTAAGCACCACATAGCATGGACTCTTTTGTCCATTTCAGCAGTTTACAAGTGCGTTAGTGTGAGTCTTATCATTTTATATAGGATGTGGTGGTTTGAAAGAAAATGGCCTCCAAAGACCCATAGGAAGTGGCACTATTAGAAGGTGTGGCCTTGTTGGAGTAAGTATGACCTTGTTGGAGTAAGTGTGTCACACTCCACAGGCTTTGAGGTCTCAGATGCTCAAGCCAGGCCTAGTGTGGCGCAATTTTTCCCCCTGATGATTTGGATGTAGAACTCTCAGCTCCTTCTCCAGTACCATGTCTGCCTGCATGCTGCCATGTCCCACCATGAAGATAATGGACTAAACCTCTGAAACTGTAAGCCACCCCAACTAAATGTTTTCCTTTATAAGAGTTTCCATGGTCATGGTGTCTCTTCACAGTAATAGAAACCCTAACTAAGACACAGGAGAAGCGTTACCTCCACGACTCTAAACTGCCTTGGTTCACTGTGTCCATCACTGATGACTTCTCTCAACTTCCTGTACAGTTTTTTTTTTTACTCTGCTGATGTTCAGCTACTGGCTGACCTGAGAACTGTCTTTGGAACTCCTGTAATTTTGTCCAAGATCATTTTCTCACATTTCCCTTAGCCTCCTGGGTTTAAGGCAGATGCTGGAGTTTCATCTCTTACTCTGACCTATGTGTTCAGCTTTGGGCTCATAGTGGTTCACTCATAGCCCTTCTTGGATAATAATCCATATCCCTGATTTAACATTCAAAACTGAATCCTTACTTTTCCTGAGGACCATTCCTCCAACCCTGTTGATTTCATTAAAACGTCAACACAGTCTGAATAAACCCCAGCTAAGAAAATTTATATCTTCAAAGCTTTTTTTTTTTAAAAAAGTACGTCACTGAAACTGCCAAAACTTTTCATCTAAAAGTCATTAGTAATATATCGCTTCTGAGATGAGATATTGGTACCAAAATTGTACACGAGCATACATACTTCCTAAGAAATGGGTACGGGAAAAATAAAGTTAACAGTCATCTTCCAGTGGCCAATGAAAAGGTGCTTCATAATTATCCACCCAGGAAGTGTGTATTAAATGTACAGTGAAACCAAAAAAATAAATAAATAAATAAAATAAAGAGCCGGGCGTTGGTGGCGCACGCCTTTAATCCCAGCACTCGGGAGGCAGAGCTAGGCAGATCTCTGTGAGTTCAAGGCCAGCCTGGTCTACAGAGTAAGATCCAGGAAAAGGCGCAAAGCTACACAGAGAAACCCTGTCTCAAAAAACCAAAAAAAATAAAAATTAAAAAAAATAATAAATGTACAGTGAGACCCCAATGCACACACTCTGGAGTGAATGGGATGAACTAGACAGGAATACTGAGTACTGGGTGAAGAAGGAATTCTCATATGCTTTCATTGGAAATAAAATGTTCTACATCTAATCATATCACAGATGAGTGCCTATTATTTTCTTTGTCTACTAAACATAATCTACTTGGAGAAATAGAAAACTTATTGGTGTATATTCACTATGCATATAGTGACAGGTTTATAAAGACACTGCCATTCAAGTATCGGGCACTTTAACTATAATCAGCCCATAGTCCCTCTCAAGCCTCCCCTTGCCCATCTTGTTAGCCCTCTTCCTTTCCCTAGGTAGAACTGCTTACACTTCACACATACACACACACACACACACACACACACACACACACACACACACACACACAGAGTCTACACATGAGGGGAGGTATATGATATCTTTCTGAGTCGACTTTATTTTGCTTACCGCAGACATGCTTTCACATGCACACTTTTTGCAGCATTATTTACAACAGCAAACTATAGATTCATTGTCAACAGAAAAATGATAAAGAAAATTACACACACACACACACACACACACACACACACACACACACAGAGAGAGAGAGAGAGAGACAGAGAGAGAGACAGAGACAGAGACAGGGAGAGACAGATAGAGAGACAGAGAGAGAGAGAGGGAGACAGAGTTTTATCCAGCCATAAAGAAGATTAGAATTGTGTTGTTTGTAAGAAAATGGGTGGATGTGTCCATCAGGAGAAGAAGAGCTGGACAGGAGAAATGTTCTCCCTCTGGCTCATCAGGCATTCTTGTCTCCTCTACAAGCGTAGAGAGCGGACCTTGTTCCTACACACAGAGATTCATGGAGTTACCAGCGTTTACTCTCAGTGAAAGTCATTAGGAATCTTTGAGGAGAAACTGAACCTGGCTTCTTTTTGCCATTGTACTCTCCAGACTTCTGGCTGCTAGGGCTATCTTGCAATGACATGAAAATCAGAAAGCCAGAACTTCCAAGTTATGTGATTCTGGGAGGTAAAAATAGTTTACTGCTATTTTTACAAAAAAAAAAAATATACAGAAGAGTATAATTTGTGTGGAAGAGCTGATTGCTAGGTCAAACACGGGGAGACTGAGATGTTAAGTGGTGGACATGAACTCTGCACAGCTGAAAAGTAGACGTTACCTCTTCCTGAACGCAGAGTAAACGTGGACCCATGACATCCTAGCTGCTAGGAGAGGGCAGACCGTCACAGCTGACCCTAGGTGGCTTTTTAGGAATGGACAGCCGCCATGAAGTAGAGCTTAGGAGGTCACACCCTTGGGGCTTCACACATACCCATCACGGAGACATCGTATTCTATCAGGAGCGTCGCCTCTTGTCCACACTGTTTAAGAATGCTCATGGCCTCAGCATGGGTGGTTCCAAGAAGCCGAATTCCATCCACACTGAGCAACCTGTCTCCAGGTTTGATGGTGCCCTCTCTAGGGAGAGAATACAGGAATAGTCTTGATTAATTGAGCATAATGGGGTTCTGCTTTAACAGCCACTTAGCCAGAGTCGTGCTTTCACGTGCATTCTGTCATCCAGCCCATTTGCATTCTTTTCAGGCATCGAGAATGACAGGGCGAGTGTAAAGAGGTAAGCCCGGACAGAAAATTGCTGTAATACGAAAAACCAGTAATGAGAAAATAACCACATATTAGCAAATAACCTGGTCACCCACAGTTGACTCGTGGAGGATGAAAGTAAGAAAGGCACATTTTCCCTCTTGCAGGCTTTCACTCGAAGTCGAAAATTGATTTACCGGAGCCCAGGAAATAGCATTCACCTATTTTTTCCCCAAAGCCAAGTTGAACAGAGAAGCCTTCTAATTTCATCCCATTTATTAGCCGTGAACCCAAGTGGGACAGGGCGTGCTGGTGAGCATTCTCCTCATCTGTAAATTTCCCTACTGAGTTATGAAGCCATTTGGCAATCATTATGCCAATCCAGCCTCACCGGCCTTGGACGAGGCAGGCAAAGAACATTCTCCCTGCTGTGAATTCAGAGTTCTAAGGCACCTGGAGAGGATGAGAGGACATTAGTGACACCAGGGGTGCAGGGTCAAAGTAGCCTCCGGCTGGCTGTCTCTCCGTGGGGGAAGGGCGTGAGACGAGAAAGAAAGACAAAAAGCAGCCTGAGGAATGTGGGAGGCTATAAGTGATCGCTAAAACAAATATCTTTCACTTAGATGATTCTAAGCATATAACTAAAGTTTAATATTTAGTGCCACGTTTCTTTGCATTCTAACTGCACTTGACGACAGTTTGTAATTTGCTCCTGACGTTCCTGTTAACCCTAACTGTTAAGATGGATGAGAAATGTGTATACATCTCTTCTCTTTGGAAGGAGCAGTCCCCAAGAGAAGCATGGGGAAGGGAAAAGGTGAAACTCCCTGAAGTTTGTAGTTAGTGTTGTCCTCTGCAAAGGCAAACAGATGCTAGATGCCGGCACAGTGGAGCATCCAATATCTCCACATTTCCTTATTTTATAGGAAATATCATCTTCCTTAGAAGTGAGCTCACAGCATGAGTTCTGGAGGAAAACACACCCGAGTCCTTTTTAACATCTGTCTTAACTATCCTAAGTCTTTGGTCAGCTGTGAGAAAATGAAGAAATGCCCCATTTACAGGGTGATTGTAAGACTAAAATAATACAATATTCACCAAACAGGCAGCATACTTTTTGGAATATAGAAAGTGCTTCATAAATAGTATTTATGATAATGACTTCCTCCCCAAAAGGTTTAACAATCTATGTTGATTCTAGATGGACAGACAGGAGCAATTAGTGTATCTGTTTCCCATCCTTTAACAGTATCTGTGGAAGGAGTTGTGCTCATCCGTTATTCTAGAGTTCGCTTTTGCCATCAGAAAACCACACAGACAGAAGCATCTCCAGAGACACTTAGATTGTGAGTTTACCTGGGACCCAGCGAGGCTTATGAGCAAACATCTAAGAGCACTTTCCCTTCACATACTCAAATTCTCAAGGAAGGGAAATCCTTAGAGATCGACAAAATTTCTTCCATTTGACTAAATGTCGTTCCCCTGTGATGTGCAGGGTCATCACCATGAGGAGATGCTGTTGATCCTAAGAGTCACAGCACTGATCCATCTTCCCAGATGGGAACACGGCAGTGCAGAAGGATACAGGCCAACTATGCCTTGGAGTGCGTCTAGTGAGTCAGGCCACCCAAAACACCTTTTGCTAAGCAAACAAACCTGAAAGGCCGCCAGTGTTGTCTATATCTACGATGGAGGGAGCTGAGCTCAGAACCAAGTACTGGCCAGAGAGAACGCACAGGAAAGGAGGAGTCTGGAGGCAAAACCTCACTTCCTCACAGCTCAAACTCTTGGCGCTTTCACATTCTCACATACATACTTGACATCTAGCGGTTACAATTAATTATGTTCTCTTTCAGAGTCCCCGGCTGTATTCAATCTAGTTTGGATAATGATAAAGATGGAGTTTACCTGTCAGCAGGCCCTCCGGGACGAACACAGGTTATCACAACTGGACGAGACTTATTTCTGTCATCGTGTGCTCCCCCTGGGAGAAAATATAAAAAATAATAAAAAAGAGGAAGACAACTTGAAAACGCTCTCATTGTTGCCTTAAAAAAAAAAAAGAAAAAAGAAAAACACCTCCTTACAAAGTGCCAGTGGAGATGTAGCAGTGTATTTGTGGATACAGAGGGGAGAAGGTGCAACTTGCCCTCTGGCATGGAAAACCTTTAAAGGGCTTATTCATTTTAGGCAAAATGTTCCGAAGTCACTACCTCTCCGCTTCTTAATAAACACAAGCAGCCATCAGAATGACAGAAGATATATGACGACTGGAATGGCCTGGGGCTTACTAATTCAAACTACTGGTCCAGTGAGACCATCTCCCAGTCATAAACAATGCACAGGTGTGCACACCTCACGCTGAGCAACATGGCCTAGAGTATAGATGCGGAAGCGGGCCTTCAACCATATATTAAAGCAAAAACTCAAGAAAAGGGCCAAGTGGTTAAAAAAAGAAGGAAAAGTGTGGTGGTACACAATTATGATTCTAGCACTTGGGAAGCTGAGGCAGGGGGAATCCTCATGAGTATGAAGTCAGCCTGGTCTATGGGCTGTGCAGTATGTTCCGGGATTGCCTGGGTTAAAGACTATGATCCTGTCTAGAACACAACAAAGTGGTTTAAATGGCCACTATCAAAAGTATAGTGTTTAAACTACCGGGGAAGACTTGGAAGAGCTTGTCGTGCCGATCGCAATGGGAATTCAAATTCTGTATAAGAGAAAATTTCTCTAGAGGAGTTTGTAGTTTACTGGGACGTAAAGCTCCAGATGGAAGATAATCCCTGGGAAGTTTTCTTTTTGACCCAGAACTGATTTGTACAATTTCCTTCATCTGTGCTCCCCAGCATGTGCTTGGGGTCACCAGGGATGGGCCACTCACTAGGTCTGAGGCAGCCCACCCCACATCTGGACAGGAGAGAGTATACAACATTTTTTCTCATAGTCAGCTGACACCTTTCAAGTCATACATTGGTCCTTGTTATATAGACTGGAGCATACACATACACACACACACACACACACACACACACACACACACACACACACTTTTCTGCAAACAAGTTTTCCCAAAGATGAAAATGGTAGTTCTCACCCTACTAGGCTCCTCTATTTAATGCTTAGCATTTCCTACTTTTCTAGTCTTTCTGCGACCCGAGTTCCTTTCCTATTGTCATCCTGGGAAATCACACGAGCAGTCTCCAGTTTGCCAGTATCTGATAAATATGAAGGCCATCACCGGCTCTTCTTCAAGGAGTGTGTGGTGTAACAGACTGTCGTTTCCCGAGACAAGGGGAGGCAAATGAAAGGTATCCAGCCCAAGAGAAAGGTTAAGAAGCATTTGCTCTTGCAAGGTATTCCTGAGAGGTACATTTGCTTTTCTATGAGGGAACTGATTTGGAAAAGGGTGCATGTTGAAGCCAGCAAGAAACCCTCTCATAATTTTCTCAGATCCAAATTTAAATATAAAACACTGAAGGCATGCTAATTGAGTTCTAAACTTCTCGATAGCTGACATTTTATCATTAATGAAATAATGCACTAAATAAGGCCCTTAGGTTCTAGGAAGTTTGGACTTGTAATGTAAAATAGGCACCTCAGATCACTGATGTTCACTGGTTATAAGGACACACATTAGCATCATTGGAGATGCTTTTAAAAAATGTTAGTACCTGGGCTGGAATTGGAGCTCACAGTAGAGGAGCTGAGCATGCATGAGACCCCAGGTTCAATATTTAGCTCCAGAAAACAAAGCCAATGTCAGTATCACCATAGAGACCAAATGTGAATATCATGCATGTATGTTAGAATGAACAGGACTCTGTCCAGCTTTAACTATGGGAATGGCTAAGTGTCCTTGTCCAGTGGAATATGCCAGCTTGGCAACACAGTGCTCTTTAAAAATAGATTTTGTTCTTTCCATTGTTTTTAACATTTTCTAAATTATTTTAGTTTGTAGATGTATGTGGAGGTCAGAGGATAACTTGCAGGAGTCAGTTCTTTCTTTCTACATGTGGGCTCCCAGGATCCAACTCAGGTCAGCAGGCTGGTTGGCAAGCATCTTTACCAGGTGAGCCATCTTGCTGACTCAGAGAATGTCCTTTGGTTCCAGGGATGAACTCTCTAAAGTTCACACGGAGGCATCACCCTTTGTTCTACAGGAAGAATATTCTCTTCTCATGAACCATTTTTTTTTCTCATTAGAAATGAATTTCATCCATCTGCTAACAAAGTTCACATTTTCATCAGAAGAGGTAAAGAATAAATTCTCCAGCACTGAATGGAAATGTTCTCTCTGCAGTGCCCACCTCCATCCTGACTTGACTGGTTTATCTATTTATCTGACCCAAATTTAGCTAAAATTGCAGCTATGTCAAAAGTATCAGATGTGCTAATATTTTATCCATCACACTGTCTCATTTTGATTAGCCAATGACCCTTAGTGGGTGTTTGTGGCTACCAATTGATCAGATAAGCTCTCTGGAGATGGGCTTCAAGATGATTTTTAAAATGTAAAACCACAAATTTTTATGTTTAACCAGTGTATCAAGGAAAATTCTAAAGTCTGTACAAACGTGGCAGTCATCAGCTAAACCCAGTTCATTACTACAAAGATTTTAAAATCAGAAGAGGCCCTATAATCATACAAATTCAAGAAAAGAACACTGACTTCATGGGCCACTCATTCTTTCTTGTATGAAGTGCTACCTAGCATTTTAGCCTCTGATCTATCTCCTGTGCATGCATACACATAAACTTTTGAAATTCCCAAAAACTGTTTGAAGGATATTTTGGTAATATTACATGTGGCATTCAGTTGCATCTATCCATTTTATTTTGTAATGATAAATTGTTATTGGCTCAGGTCTTTCATTAGCAATTTGACTTGTTATTTGTTAATCTTACAGTAACTAGGGATGAATGTGTATAGCAAAAGGAATCTTTGTTGCACTTATTCAATAATTAGGAATTTTTGCATGTGTTTCAAAAGCATTTCCCTTATGGTTTTAAGGGAAGAAGATTTGCATACACCATCCTTCAGCCTAAATACCTTATAGGGAGAGTTTCTACTATATCTTGTCTATTGTTATAAGAAATTTAAGAATGGTTCTGGTTAGTAACCAGGCCTTGGAACTTATCATAACTCTTAAGAAGAGGGTTTGGCCAGAAAAGTTTTATAACCAGAAAACCATCATAACCATCAAGCTAAGCCATATAATAAACTCCTAGTTTATCCTCTGTTTTACTCACTTAGTGGAAGTTGTCAGCTTGTGTCTTCAATTCATTGACCTTAATGACTTGAGGTAGGGTCATTGTCTTATGATACCACAGCACTTATCACTATGCTGACATGAAGGTATGTACTTAGTAAATATTTCATTGAGTGATTGGTTTGCCCAATGGCTGGCCTAGATTAGAATTAAACATTCAGAGCTCTGCTATAAAGAAAAGCTTGTCCAAGTGAACATGACTGTTGTAGTGTTTAATGCATAGATTTGCTAAGATGTTTGTTAATATTAGTTAATATTTTATCAATCATTTGGACAGAAGTCTTACTCATGTAAAGTACATTGTTATAGGTAACAACAATGGGGAAAATCCCCCCCCCCCCAAATTGGTAGTGTTAAAATTTCCTGATGCAAACGTAATTATTGAATCTCATTATCACACTATGGATTAAGAACTGCTAATGTTGCAATAGTCTTTCAGGGGCAAAACCACTAACCAGAAAAACAAAGTCATAAAAACACAGAGTCATAGTTCAGAACTAATGGAGTCACTTGAACTCTTCAGTTATCAATGCCATCCCATAATGAGATAGGTTGAATTGATACACACGGGTACCCCAAGGATTAGATTATCTTTGTTCCATTTTTAGAAAGTTGCAATAATAAAATGTATTTTAAAAGAAAGTCATTTAAACCGAGTTGCTTAATCCTTAGGTATTAAATTAAGCCATACCTATCAATATTTTTGATTCAGTAATACAGACCAGACACAAGAACAAAGGAACACTGGAAAGTGCTACATCAGTAGGATCAGAGGGAACTGGCAAGGTCTACTAAAAATAGCTACTTGCTCTGTATTACTGGGCTAAAACCAAAGTTGATCATTTGGAATTCGTTGATTCTTTGTCACAGTCTTATTTGCTTAATGATATTTTTAACTTATGGAAAGGTCAGTTTTTCAAGATGCCTTCTAGAATCTCACCAAGAAGTTCTCTAGGAATATCGGAAGGCCCATTGTTGGTAACCACCACCTACCTCGAATGACAAAGCCGAAGGTGTTGCCTTCCTTGTGCAAAGTGACCTCCACTGTTCGGAACATAACACTCGACCCTTGTACAGCTGCATATGGGAACGAGATAGCAAAGCGTAAGTTTAAGGTTGTAACAACATTTCTATTACAACTTTTTCAACGTGACGTAATAGGCTTGCAAGTTCTGTTGCAAATAATTTATTTTGAATAAAAAAGTCATAGTACCAACAAAGTCTGAGAAAAAAGAATTGTAATGCTATACAGAGACTGAGAGTAGTTATCCATATAAATGACCCATGTTGTTCCAAATAGAAACAAGGTCATAGCTAGTTCCTTCCTTCTGTAGAGACAAGTCCTAGACAAGGGGTAAGATTTATGTTGCTTAAACTCTCCATAGCAAGCAAGGCAATCTTCAATAAATAGAAACATTTCCTTTTGTGAAATACAAAAGCAATATGACTATTGCAAAGCTTAGGAAATAATTTCTGCCATCACTTTTAGTCTTGAAGCTGGAATATGAAGAAAACTCATTCCTCTTAGATTACAATCAATAGATTGCTGATGCAAATAGATGTTCTGACACGCGGACAGCTGTTTGATGAAGATGCCCGCGGCCCAAATGAAACATGGAGAGCTAAAAAAATCCTAAGGACATTCAAAATGTGACGACAAAGATCTGCTTAAATTTGCCTAGTCTCACTGTGTTCTGTTCTTTGCCTCTTATTGTTTTCATTTCACAAAATGAAATTCTACTGCCAAGTTGCAGTCTCTAATTACATTATTCCACACATGTGAGCATCCGTCATGTAAAGGCACAGTCACTAAAATATTCTGTGAAACTGCTTTGGGGAAACAGTGAGTGATTCTGATTGTACAATATACTATTGCTACATAAAAAAAATTCCACAAATTAGTATTTTAACATGACGAGGGCAGGAATGATTTTGTTGGCGGACCAAGAAGAACTTATGTACTGTGCAGAAGTAGCTGGCTTCCAATCCTTTATAATGTTGTACACGGGAAGCTGGAAATGGTGGAGCATGCTTGTAATCACAACACTTGGGAGGTTGAAAACGGCAGGAGAATTGCAAGTTCAAGGCTAGCCTGGGCTACAGAGTGATTTAAAGGACAGTCTGGGCTACATAGTGAGAACCTATGTCAAAAAAATACATAATGATGTCTATAGCCATAGTTATTACCAATAACACATTTTATACTGTTACTAGATCTTAGTATGTTTCTTACATAAAGCTAACAATACAAAACCCATGACTTATGATGCTCGAGGTACAACGTGTTGGCTTTACTGTGATGTGAAATGTACTCACAGTATACTTTCTTCTCACTATTTGTGCAGTATTCAACAAACGACATGCTATTTGGCACTTAATTATAAAATCAGCCTGCGCTAATGCTTTTACTGAAAACTAGGCATATTTAAGTGGCATGAGCACATTTCAGGTGGGTCAGGCTGAGATGTTCGGTCAGCTAGGCTTGCTAAAAGTATTGTTACTTCACAATGGTTTCAGATGGGTTTCTCAAGACATAACTCCATCCAAAGTCAAGGAACATCTGCACATAGTTTTAAAGAACCACTAAAAATCAACCTCGTCTCACCATTTGTATAAGCTAGTGGTTTAAATTAAGCATTAATTGTAGTTATTTTTAACAATCAGAAGCACTAAACCCTCAAAGGGATCCCGTAGGAACAGTAAGAAAAAGGTATGCATTTAAACTTGTAGAATCGGGCTGGTACAGTTGATCTGCCAACTACCAGGCTGGGCATCAAGTAGAGGAAAAACCTGGATATGCTGACAAACAGCACAAATGTGTAGCTGAACAAATGTTTTGCTATATGGCTGATTTAATTGGATGTCATCTCCTCGCTATCAGGGGAATTTCAGTTTACTCTAATCAACTAGCAACAGTACATACAAACAGATGAAAGAACTGAGGGATAGTTTTAATTAAATGAGGAACAAAATTGGACTTAAACTAAAGGACTTATCTCTATGACTCAACAAGCCACTTGAAGAAACTAGTTTTAAACATGATATTTTCATTTTATGGATGTGAGGAAGGCAAAGACGTGGTGAGAAATACCTGATGAGCACCTACTGTGTGCCCAGAACTCAGCAAAAATGGTTTTGCAAATATTATTTCATTTAATCATTAAATCATCTCTCAATTATACACAACCAAATCCCAGCTCTGGGCCACCTGTGCTTGTTGGCTGGATGTCTGTTCTGGGAATGTGAAGTTCTGGAATTTTCATTTTGTTTTTGCTTTCCGTAGTTGACCACAAAATTCTTATATTTGAATCTAGTCTGTATGAAGATTTTGGGATTACTCACAGCTTCAGATCATTCACACCCCACTTTACACCATTTACAATGATAACTGTTATCGTTGGCAACATTTTAATAAAATTAACAAAACATATTGGGTCTTTACAGTTTTTATTCACACTACTGGCCCTTGTCAATTTAATTTTCACACCCAGTATCAGTATCCTTGTGTTGGCCATGTAACTGTTACTCATTATTCTGCAGAGATGTAATGAAGAGGCTTAGCCAAAGGGTTAAAAGGCTAGGTAAAAGGTCTCCTCAGTATTTTAGTTGTACTGTGGCTCCATGTTTCTATTTGCGAATATGCACGAGTTTCCAGAAAGCTGTTTGACTACGGTAGATGAGATTGCTCCAAGTGAAACACTCCATTCCTCCTCCGTCCTCACCACCTTGACAGAAGAACAGGAGTTGAGCTGTTTCCCTTCTTATTGTGTTGCCTTGTGCATGGGTCTTGCTTTGCCCTTGTGAGGCTATGGGATGCTAGCAGAGGCTAGAAATGTGCTCAAGTGTCCTGGCCTGCCTCCTTTTCCTGGGCCACAGGGAGAGCTCTATAGAGCAGTGCTCCTATAGACTCAACTTCAGAATGAACTATGTGGAGGTTATCTTCCAATACCCTTCCGTCTTCGCCAATCCCACTGTGATGGCGACAGGGTCAGAAGAGAGATGGCCACACAGCGACACCATTCACACATCCACTGGAGGGAAGAAAGGATTCCTTCTGTTAGACAGCTGGTCTCACTCAGCTGGTGATTTAACGGGAGCTAAAAAGACCTGGCAGATTTCTCTTTTTAATTATTAAGCAGGGAAAACTCTGTAGCTCCAAGGTTTAAATGGAAACACTATTTAAGTAAATAGAATGTCCCCAAATCACATTCTTTCTCATTATTTAAGCTGATGATAAAATGTTAAGTGTCAACTGAAAATGGCTGAGAATTACTTGGCATTTCAAAATTCCATTGGGGTTATGTGAACAGAGAGCAGGGAAGGTACTTTTTGGATCAATGTTTAATGCATAAATACCTAGGATACACTTTGCTCATATTCTCCCCAAGTAGTTCTGAAAGCAGTACATAATTTTCAAGTTAAAATGAGGTATGGAACACAGAGGGGCCAAGTACTTCCTTTCCATAAGGAAACCGAATCTTGGGAAAGATAAATGGATTGCCCAAGGCCAGACTTTATTATTACTTTTTTTAATCTCTCAGATCACAGACAGACATACCCAGCTTTCTCTGAGCCCTTGAGCTGGCTGAGGCTCAGAGCGCTGTGAACTGGGTGTGTGGTTCTCGGTGTGGGGAGACAGAGAGACGCTAGCTTGGGTGGGCTTCAGGTAGATATGATGGCCTGTTTAGTTTTAGTGTTCCGAGCTAAGTACAGGAGAGGCTTGTTAATGCCTTCAACCTTTCTGAACTCCTAGGCATTATTAATTTCCCAAACATAAGAAAAATAGATAGAGATTATCCTTGGAGGATAGGCTTCTTCCATCTGAATTCTATCAAGAAAAAGACTTTGGCATTTAAAAGCATATTTTCTCTCTTGCTGTCAGCTTTATTGCATGGGGAAGACAAACCTATTTAAGTACCAAGCCTCAGCAGATTTAACTCCTAAACATGTTGGATACCAATTTTCTCCTCTTTAACTCTGTAGATGCTGTATAGCTCAAGGATATCTTCTCTTTTGGAAAACAGTAAGAGCACCCAGCAAATAGGTCTGAGGATCTATTTGGATCTATTTTCCATTTAGATTCTCAAATGGTACTGGAAACACGCTTGTCTGACAATAGTTTTAAAAGCCCTTAGGGATTTGTGGACACCCACATCTTCCGTGGAACCTCATCATTTGATTCCTGTTGCCTCACTGGCTGCCTCCCTATCCTGGAATCTGTGCCTTTCCTTTGTGATCTGACAGTCCCATCCTGTGAAGCCTGAGCAGGCCACTGCATACTCTGACTTTCTTGCTGGACCCTCTGCCCAGGGTGGTGTTCTTCCTATTCAGTCTGTATCATTCCTTCCCATTCTCCCCAAGTCTATAGCTCTGAATCATCCATGATACTGGACAAATCCCCACTCTGGGCCTGACCCTCTAAGCTATACGGGATTCCTTTAGGAATGGAATGTGTTGTACTGATACACACACCCAGTGGAAGGAAAATGTATAAATGAGAGCCACATCTCTATAGAGCTGGTTTTCTTAACTCCTGGAAATGCTTTGAGATAATAATTTAAAGGCAAATTGACTTTGATAAAGTTAAAGAAATCATGGTGCCCTTATAATGGTCACAGTCATAATGGCTAATATTTGCCAAGAATGTAACAATGGCCTAAGTATGTGATCACACTGCTGAATTCCTACAAAGCACATCCAGCAGTGACTGTAGCCATTGACAGGTGGGCATCCCATGGCTCAGAGAACTTAACACAGCCTGAGTGCTTTAACTGGGTCCCTGAATCCCAAATACCTTCTGTATTACCCTCAATCTCAATTTACATTGAAATCGCTTGCCCACATTTCTGGCTTTCTCCTTGATATTTCTGTGTGTACATGACAAACACACATCTCAAATGTAGTATTCAGCCTCCCCGCAACATGTCAGTTCTCCCTGCAATCTTGTCCAGCCCCATTAATGGTAATTATATCATTCCAGTTGCTCAGGCTCAAAACCTTGGTATGACTCCGACTCTATTTTTGTATAGCCTGCCTCACATTCATTAGGAAACCCCATTGGCTCCTCATTCAAACCATACAGAATCTGACTGTTTCCCACCTTCACCGATCCCGCTTCTCATGTGGATCACTGCGGTATTCTCCCAACGTGTCTCCCTACCTTCATCTCCTGCCACGGCTTCTGACTACAGCCCAGCCACCAGAAAGCCTCTGGAACTGTGAGATCGTGTTTTGCCTCTGTCTGAGGCCAGGCTTCCCGAATCATTCAGAGCATAGCGGAAGGTCCTCCCAATGGCCCACGAGATCACCCCACCTCACATTTCTGACCTTACCTCTCAATTCTCTTCCTGTTCATTCCACTCTTGGCCCACCGGTCTCAGTGCTTCTAGAACACCCACAGGTATTGTCCTGCCTTTGCTCTTATCACTGACTGTCTCTTTCCCCTGGAGCTTTCCCTTTAGAAATTCATACAGTTGCTTCCCTCACTGCCTTCAAGTTCTGGACCTGTGTCACCTCGACTACTGTTCCCAACATCTCTATTTAATGCCGTGGTCCGATCCCCATCCTACCCCACCCCAGTTACTTCTGATTTATCACCCTCATATTTGCCCCGTCCCTTAAGATGGAACATGGTTATCGTGGTTTTTGCTAAAGACTGCCTTACCCTCGTAGAGTGCAATGTCCACGGATGTCCCCCCGCATTCCCAGAATATGTAGTCACAGCGGGAGCACAGTAAAGACTCATCCACTCATGGCTGAACACGGATTATCATCAACTATCCATAATAATCTAAGTCCTCATGGGTAGGAAGGAGCAAAGAGCTGTCCCGGGTCACATCCCTGGTGACAGCTCGTCAGAGGAGATGAGACACCAGAAGAACATAGCTTCAGCACAGGCAGCCATGACACACAGCAGAAGCCATGTCTCATGAACGTGAGCAAGAGGCCTTCGGAGGCAGACAGGCTGGGTTCAAATACTTTGTAGCCCACTCACTTGAGAAAGCCTTGTCTGACACCTTCAAAGGATGGAAAGAAGAATGACACACGTCTGTCTTGTAGTTTCGATTGGTTGATCTATTATTTACTAAAAACTTGTAGAGTGCCAGGCAATATTCTAAGTGCTTTACAAATGCTAACTCAAGTCACTTGTCATGGCAAGCAATGATCTCCATTTTGCAGATAGGGAAACTGAGCCATAAAGCTTAAGCAACCTTCTCAAAGACATGTAGCAAGTAAAAGTGAAGCCAGATTTAATAATTTTTTGAAATCTGTCTGCTGCATTTATTACCATTATCATTACTTAATAATAATTAGATATGGTATCATCTTTTATGTTTTTTTTGTGAGCTTATCCACTGAAGAGTCAATATAAAGCATGTAAACATGCTTTTCCTAAATCTAAGCACAATATTTGGATGAATTTTTAAAAAAATTACATTAACTGTTTATTAAAATAGCTTAAGTGGCATCCATGTCCATAAATCACTTTAATGGATGGCCAAAAGAAAAAGAGAAGCCAGCAGGGGTGGGAAGCCATGGCGGGCAGCTGTCGGGGGTGGGTGGGGGGAATTGTCTTTACTTACAGACTGGTGGGAGCTCATACTCCACTTCCAGGACAACTCTTTCCCCAACATTTTTCAGCAAGCTGATGATCTCGTCATGGCGGAATTTGGCCAGGTTGATTCCATTCACGGCTTTGATGTAGTCGCCCACATCCAGCTGGTCACTTCTGCAAAAACAACGTCACTATGGTGGGCCCATCCTTCCACAGGCCACTCTTCTAACTTTTTGACTGCTGTGGGATGGTCTGTATGTCAAATGTGTTGCTGATTGGTCAATGAATAAATCACTGATTGGCCCGTGGCCAGGCAGGAAGTATAGGCGGGACAAGGAGGAGAATAGGGTGGGAAGTGGAAAGCTAGGGGGAGACACTGCGAGCCGCCATCAGGACAAGGAAGATGTAAAGTACCGGTAAGCCACAAGCCATGTGGCAAGGTATAGATTAATAGAAATGGATTAATTTAAGCTGTAAGAACAGTTAGCAAGAAGCCTGCCACGGCCATACAGTTTGTAACCAATATAAGTCTCTGTGTTTAATTGGTTGGGTCTGAGCAGCTGTGGGACTGGCAGGTGAGAGAGATTTGCCCTGACTGTGGGCCAGGCAGGAAAACTCAAGCTACAAATGGCGCCCAACGTGGGGCAAGAGTTTCCACCTAAAACCTGAGAAAAAAGATTCTAAAACGGAGCTAAAAACAGCTTCCTAATTGTCTCTCTCAAATGAGCGGCAGCTGCCGGTTTGAGCTACTGGCGGGTTGCTGGCGTGCGCGCTCGACCTGCAGTATGGCGGGAATGAGGCCTCTGCAAGTGGCACATTAAGCTACATTGTGGATTTAGCCTTTGCTAGTACAAAAAAAAAAAGAGGTTTCTGGGCTACATGCTGCTTTGATAGAAGCATAGACCCACTATTTCTGAGAGTTGATGGCTCCCAGAGCTGGCGGAAAACGTATCACCGCCATTTTGGGAAGCTGAAGTGGGCGGAGCCAGCAGCCACAGCACCAGTGCCATTTCAGGCTTAGAAGGCTGCAGTTCAAAGCAATAGGCTCAAGCTAATATAAAAAAATAAGCCACGTAAAGATGGCTACCACACAGAGAATCTGGATTATGTTCTCTTTGATATTCGTAACTGAAGAAAAACATTTAATTACAAAAGCTGTTGAGTTATGCCAAAATGTATATTTTAAAGGTACCTTGACTTCAAAATTTGGATATAAGGATATGTTGCTTTGGAAAGGAGATTCTGCTTTTGTTTCCACAGAAAGCAAGAGGCTATGGATTTGTTCCAGATTAAGACACATCAGGTTTGACCAGCCAAGACCACCTGAAAGGTCTCCGATGACACCATGGCCCAGATGATCCAACATCCAAAACCGTTTCAAGGCAACTGGCTCAGATGATACAGCCTCACGGACTACTCCATGATCCTAAAATTTTCTTTGTTTCCCCAGAAGATACAGCGCCCCCCTCCAGCAGGAAGTAGTAAGAGAAGCTACGCCCAAATTCCCAAATATACCAAGCTGACTTTGGAGATGTGTAAAGGTTAAAACCTTCCTTTTTAAGAAAAGAAAAGGGGAGGTGCTGTGGGATGGTCTGTATGTCAAATGTGTTGCTGATTGGTCAATGAATAAATCACTGATTGGCCCGTGGCCAGGCAGGAAGTATAGGCGGGACAAGGAGGAGAATAGGGTGGGAAGTGGAAAGCTGAGAGGGGGAGACACTGCGAGCCGCCATCAGGACAAGGAAGATGTAAAGTACCGGTAAGCCACAAGCCATGTGGCAAGGTATAGATTAATAGAAATGGATTAATTTAAGCTGTAAGAACAGTTAGCAAGAAGCCTGCCACGGCCATACAGTTTGTAACCAATATAAGTCTCTGTGTTTACTTGATCGGGTTTGAGCGGCTTGGGACTGGCGGGTGAGAGAGATTTGCCCTGACTGTGGGCCAGTCAGGAAAACTCTAGCTACATTTGACTTTCCCTCCTCTAAGTTAACAGGTCAACATAATAAACACCCCGCTCCCTAGGCCATGACTGGACCCTAAAAGAAGGAGCTTGGCTGAGAATGGGTGGGGATGCGGTGGAGCTACCCTACTTGCCCTGCCTGTTACGCATTGGTACTTCGGCCTTGGGTGTGTCTCTGATCGTTCCTCAAACCTTTTACTTCTTTTATTTCTAAAACATCAGAAAACAAAACCTTAAAAACATTCGTGGCCCAAACAGTTCGAGCCAGGGACCTTGATTTGGGGGATGTGGGGTGGCTTGGGAGGGAGGGCTGGGAGATGGGAGGAGGGAGAAGGTAGGATCTGTGGGTGGTATGTAGAGTGAGTAGAAAATTTCTTAATAAAGAAAAAACAAAACATTAGTTTCTTGTCCCCTAGCACTGCTTCTCTAGGGATGGACCCTGACTCTAGATACTGCGAATCTTTCCTTCTTCTTCTCTCTTAATAGTGTTGCCTGCCCTTTGGAGATTGCAGGGCTTTTAATGTCTTTATTGGGAGTGGGACCAGAGTCAGAGCCAAGGAAATAGTCAGTATATTTTGTTTCTTATTGCTTGCTTTTCAAAAAAACAAAACCAAAACCAAACAAACAAATTAAACCGAAAAACTGTTGTCTATTCCTAATCAGCACTGATAAAAAAAAATATTGAGGAAGAAGAAATGACCGAGAAAGACTTGAGTTGCAGCATCGACCCCACCTTCCCTCATGGCCACAGAACCCCTGCTGTTCTGGGCTTTATCTACCAGACAGACTTCCAAATTAAGAACAGGCAGCAAGACCAATGGCGGGAGCCAATGTGTCAATGTATATGTCACTGGACACACGGACAAAGCAAGCTTCCTGCTCTGTTTCCTCTAGGAAACCTCTTATGTCCCGGTGAGAAAGAAAAGCCTCCTTGGTGGGAAAGTAAACACTTTCCCTGGAGACCTGGAGTTGGGCCTGTGTCTCCTCCTCTCGAGCCATTTCACATCTTACGGGTCATCGGTTCCACATTTAGTAGATCCGAGTGTCACTTTCCTGCTGCAACCCACTTGCCATCCAGAGGCACAGTCAGACCTTAAGCAATCCTGTCAAAATTAAACCTGCAGGAGCTGGGCTGCTCCCGAGGAGACACCAAAGTCCCCAGTGCCGGGGAGTGGTTTCTGAGGCATGCCCGCTGTGCTTCTGTGGGGAGGCGCTGCCTGGCAGACAGCAGCTGTCATTCATCTACCAGTGACCTTTTCTGATAAACTCTAATTTTTTTGAATTAATTATACCCTTGTTCCTTTTTCGCTGTTACGCTGTGAGGCAGTTACCTGGCAGCAATTCCTCCCTGCCGCAGGTTGGACACTCTTGGCCTGCCATCCTTGTCGATTCCTCCTGATACCGTCAACCCGAGCGTGGTGCCCTCCTTCTTCATCAGCTCCACCACGGTGGAGCCCTTGAACTCTTCTGCAAAAGACAAGCGTTCAGCCTGTTAAAGGCGAGGAGAACCAGGGATGCCATGCCGGCTGCGCGGCTCCGTGGCTCCGCCCCCTGCATTTCCCCTTTTTCGTTTATGAGAAAAGACCCCTGCTTGCACGGTAACTGCAGTGTCGCATGATGTTGGGGGCGCAGATGGCACCGAGAAAGGCATTTCAGGAGAAGTGGTTGACCCAGCACCAGTGGACTGGTCCACTCTGGTTTCACAGTAAGTAATATCAATCCTCTCAGTTACCAATGACAGTATTCTCCCCACGCTCTCTCCATTCACTAGAGACTTTGTTTTCTATTATTATAATTCAAACTACAACACAAGTTTATCAGGCTAGAATTTTAAGTCGTCATACAAATGCATTAAACATGGCGGCCAACTCGCTGTTTACCAGACATCTCAGTTTAGGAAGCCAACTACCCGAAGAGTGTTCTCTACAGGTTGGAGAAATATTATCAACACCATTTCGTCGTTAAAAATCAAGGTACCATGGTTCAGGTGGCAGTGTCTATCATGTCATGAAGAATATGTCAATGTTGCTCCTCAGGATTTGGGGATAACTGCCATAAAACTTCCACTCTTGAGGGAATACAATTTCTAAAGCTCACAGATTTTATGGGAATAATATCTACACGCTGATCAGGAACTCAAATCTTTTGATTTTTAGCCAAGGTAGAAGGTAAGATAACTTTAAGAATATACTTCTTTTCAGTTGAGATGTAATGCGTGAGAGAGAGAGAGAGAGAGAGAGAGAGAGAGAGAGAGAGAGAGAAAGAGAGAGGTGTCAACATTTACTATGTGGAGGTTAACTATGATAAACTCTGAGTTAGAGGTTCCCACCATGTTATTTTCTCCTGTCACACAGGTACTTTCTGGATGTGGATGGGGAACCACATGGTCTCCTAATTTGTGTTGAATCAGGTAAGAAATGTTAGGGGTCATGCAGTTCTAGAACACCAAACATACATTAAAATGTAAGAACAGCCTTGTGTTTTTTTTAAAGATTATTTGTATTCTTTTCCCCCCTTAATTATGCATAATAATTATAATTTCAAAAATCTCTATGACTGTTTATCATACAAGTATTTAAACTCTTGCTGGTATATTATTCCACCAATATATGAAAAAAAACATGTTAAGAGAAGAAATAGTATCTCATGAGGTCTAGTGTGCAGAACAGACTCCTGATGAAAGAATACAAGAGGTACAAGGGTGCTGATTTCCTCTGTGACATAGAGAATTTCATCCCAGTCAGGGCTGTCATTGCTTGGCCCTATGAGTGTAACGCCCCAGCATGCCACTCGGGAAGTCGTCTTTTCTATGGCAGCCTCAGGAGGCTGTGTAGTACATTGTTCTTTAAAGCAGAGTCCAGGGGAGAAGCTGTGAGTTTATACTGATGTTGACGTCATCTATAACATTCCACGTGAAAGATCAGCTAAGGACCAAAACTCAAGACTCAAAGTTCTGGCCAACTGAAGGAAAGTCGGAGGCCTTTTCTGTCATTTCCCAGAAACACGTGTGCCTAAGTCTATTAGTATTTGCAAAGTCACTGGTGTCCCCCTTCAAACAAAGACAACCGCTTAGACAAGCCATTGATACCGATATGGGCCAACAATATTGGAGACAACAGCTTAAGAAATAACCCCAAAGTCTTTGTTGGTAGAAAGCAAGGTTTCAATGTTAAAAAGTTAATAATTAATATGACATAGTGCCTATCTGCATCACAGACATGTAAGGATGTTGGGAAAAATAACTCATTGGTTTTTAAACATGCAGAGTGGTTCTGTAAACTTAAACATCTGATTTAGACCTTTAAGTGTTAGACATACAATTAAAACATATTTTTGGGGAATTTCATGCAATGTAATTTGATCATACACATCTTTCTCCATTCCTCCCTTTAACCGTTCCTAGATCACCACCTTCTTTCCCACAACTTCATGGCCTCCTTTCCTTTCCTTTCCTTTTTTTTCTTTTCTCAAATAACCCATCAAGTTCACTTTGTGCTGCCCAGATACTCAAGGGTCGGGTCATCCCCTGGACCATGGTTAACCTGCCATGGGACATACCCTTAAAGAAAACTGACTCATCTTCTCAAGCAGCAATCAACTGTCCATAGCACCTCAGTTTGGGGTAGGGGGATCATGGGCCTTTCCCTTCCTCATGCTAGAGTGTTGACTGGCTTGGCCTTGTGTAGGTCTTGCACAGGCACCTGAAGCTGCTGGGAGTTCATGAGTAGCAGTCTTATGAAGCATGAATCTTAAAAGGTCTTACTAATAAAAACGAACCTGGAGCCAGGTACTGGGGTCAACGCTGGAAGATCAGAGAAGCAGAACAAGCCACAGCTTCCTCACCTCCCAATTCCTCAGCTGTTTCCTCAGACTGGAAGCCTCTGAGTCCTCATCCAAATGGATCTCAGCTGAACTGCTGCTCAAAAGCCTAAAAGCTTAACAGCCTAGTTCCTGGTCCTCACGCCTTACCTACCTTTCTGTTTCCTGCCATCACTTCCTGGGATTAAAGGCGTGAGTCAACATGCCTGGCTGTTTCCAGTGTGGCTTTGAACTCAGAGATCCGGATGGATCTCTGCCTTTGGAATGCTAGGATTAAAGGCGTGTGTGCCACCATTTTCTGGCCTCTGTATCTAGTGACTGTTCTGTTCTCTGATCCTAGATAAGTTTATTAGAGTGGACAATATTTTGGGGAATACAATATCACTACAGTCTTGTAATGTCTAGAAGACACTGTTTCACTCTAGTCCTCCATAATTTATGGCTCTTTCACTTTTTCTGCTCTTTCTGCTGCAATAGTCTCTGGGGTGTGTGTGTGTGTGTGTGTGTGTGTGTGTGTGTGTGTGTGTGTGTGTGATATTGATGTCCAATTTGTGGCTAATTATTTCACAGTCACTTTTACTGGTTGTCAGTTTCTGCTGCATAAAGAGACTTCTCTGATAAGGTCTGGGAGCTGCATGGATCTATGGGTATAGAGGTATAAATTTAGAGAGTGGTTGGGTACTACATCCACCTGATAGAATAATAGTAGTACCTTGACTCCTTGGGCCTGTGAGCTCCCCAGCTGTGGGTTCTTGGCCAGATTTCCAGAATTAAGCATGTATTTCCTCCTGGGGAGCAGGCCTTCACCCCAATCAGAAAGTGGTTGTTTATCCCATAAAATTCCTGACATGACTACACACAGGGGTATATATTGCTGTAGATGAATTTCTAAACGGTCTTATTAAATAAAAAACACGGAGCCAATTACAGGGGTGAAAGCCTTAGAGATCAGGGATATAGTGAGAGCCACCACCTCCATAGTCCTACTGCCACTGTTTGAAAATTGGCCCCAGCCTCAGCTTCTCCTCAGCAAGCCTCCTAGGCTGGCCTCAAACTTGGATCCTCCTGCCTCTGCCTCCTTCAGCAAATCCTACCAGAGTGTGTCACTACAACTGGCTGAGGGTAGCTTGGGTGACTATCCAGGCAGCTGGCTGTTTCTGCCAACTCACATTTTTTTGGAAGCCACATCACTTCTTCGTCACTGCCTGTCTACACAGACCTCCAGCTCTCTATGGTTGGTACTGGGGTTAAAGTCGTGTGTCACCACACTTGGCTTTGTCCTTGACCACACAGAGACTCTACCTGTCATGTGATCGGATTAAGGGCATGGGCTACCACTGCCTGACTTCTGTTTATGGCTTGCTATGTGACCTCGTTATGTGAACTCTGATCACAAGGCAAACTTTATTTATTAACATATAAATAAAATCACATTTCAGCACAAATAAAGTATCACCACATATTGCCGTGCTGGTCATTATTGTAGTTCACAGGGTTCACAGCTGGGTAAAATATTTGGTGGATCTTTTCTCCCAGCAGCCCTGCATAGCACCTACCAGGACTATGAAAGCTAGTCAGAGAAACAAGGCTTCCTGGTCAACAGGAACTTAATTTGTATGTTCTGTGACAAAAGGACACATGGAGTTTTTAAGTGGTCATGTCTGCCTGTCATATGAGAAGTTTCAATTCACTGAAGTTTATTCCTGCTCGGGTCTCCAAGGATGCATGCACCATACAAAAAGGATTCTGATGACGTGGTGTTCATGGGTGAAGACACGTAGGTTTGTCTCTACAAGAAAACTAGGTGCCAGGTCCTTCCCAGGTTTCGGGATGGATCTCACAAATCATGAAAAACTCAATCATTTTCATTGAATTTTTTCTTTAGAATTTAAATCCATTTATCTGGGAACTTTAAAAGCTGGTAATAGTCAATTAGCCCCTCATTTAAAAATATTTTGCTTTTTCCTAGGAGCTAGTTTTAATACCAAGAAAGAAAACATTTATGTCCCAGTTAATTAAGTAATTTGTACAGTCATTAATTCAGTAAGTCATTGAATGCTCACAACGAGCCAAACAATACAATTGAAAGATGGAAAATGTTGAGGCCATTATCCTCAAGAGGCTCTGACTAGGCACAGAGGCAGAGCAGCAGTGTGGGGTGTGGGAAGGCAGACAGAGGAAATCATTCTGGAAACAAGGAAAAGGAAAGGTGTGTGAATTTCCAAATGCAAGGACTGTTTCCAAGCTTTGCCTCCCAACCAATCTGCTCGATTTATTGATTAGGATTAGCTGAGCAGCAGCCCAGACTAAAGAAGGAATATAAATTAAGCAGCCAGAAGCAAAGGTAGAATATTCTTGGAAGAAAATGTGCTGAATCACAAGGATATTAACTGCCAATAAGTATCTTATTTAGTCTGTTATGGGTGTTTCCAAAAGGAGTGGGAGAGAAGAGGAGGTCTGGGAGAGGGTGGGACCTGCTTCTGGAATTTGCTTCCTGCTAACCTACAAGCTCTACTCAAACCATCAATCACTTCATGTCCTTTTTGGTGTTTAATGTTTGCATAATGATGCAATGGCAGAGAGGAATGCAGACAGATGCCTTCATTTGCATGAGTTCCCTTATATATCAAAGCTTACCGAACACACAC